TACATTGCTAATAGATCAATTTCGATTTAATACTTGATGATTTTTTTTATTACTTTTCATATACCTGTAGTTCACTTTAAATTAATTATTTCCAAAAATAAAATGTAATTTAATAGAATTTGATTATTTATTTTATTCATAAAAGAATTGATAATATCCTATAAATAAAATCATAAAACAAATGAATATTCTAACATCATAAATACAATAACAAAAGCATGAGATTCTAGAAATGGTTTGCCAAATTCATAAGCGTGAGATAGTTGCTGTAGATCTTGACACATTAGAAAAAGGTTAATTATAATATATGTGCTGTAATTGTTTAGTAGAGAAAATTAACAATAACAAAATTTCAACCATTGATTAGACAAAAGAAAGAATTTAATCTTTTAAGACCTAAAAATAAGAAAATAAGACAAATAGATTCAAAAAAGTTTGGATTACTTCAAGAAAATACTTGATCAAATCATGGAATTCAAATGTAATGTTGAAAATACTTTAGAAAAGATCTATAGTCAAATCAAAGCCCAAATCTTACAATTTAAAAAGAAAAATAATCATTATTAGAAAACTGTTAAATATTGCACAATTTCCAAGAAGATGTTAAATCATTATCTGAATTTCTTTCAATAGATACTATAGATGATTAAATGGAATTTTAATAAGATAGTTAATTTATTGATGAAATTTTTTAAATTATTTTAACTTTTATTTAATAATGCTTTGTACTTATAAACTATTGACATTTTTAAGGATGCCAAATAGAAAATTAATGAAATAAATGAAAATATCAAAATTGATATAATCCATCTGCAAAATAAAATTAATTAAGTAAAATAGTAATTAATTTTTAGAAATCACCAAGTTTAAATAGAGTATGCCCTACTCATAATAAAGAAATCATAATGATAGACATTGATTTTAAGAATAAAAAAATGGAAGATAGATTTGTGTGTGTTGATTGTATTGATGATCACCCAAAATGCTAATAGAGGACCATTGAAAAAGTAAATTAATAATGGAATCATACAAAAAACCAATAAGATCGAATTTTAAATGAATTAAAATTAAAGAGATAAGAAAAATAAGAAAAATTGAATCAATAAATTGCAATCATGAGAAAGAATTACAACTAATAACTTAATGAAATTAGTGAAAAATTAATCACAGAATTTTCTCGACCAATAAATAAAAAAAGTGAGATTGATAAATTTAAATACTCATCTATTCTAGGTTTAAGCCAAGAAGAAATGTTTTAAAACATTAATTATTTGATTCAATATGATAAAGAAAATTTGGGTTAAGATTCCATAATTGAGTTTGTGAAATCTAAAGATTCTTTATTTTCAAAAGAAATTGAAAGCAGATTGGAACACTTAAAATAGCATGATTTATTAGACATTTAAGAGTCAATTAATATTTTACAAGATATCTAAAGTATTAAAAATTTATATTTTTTTAGATGATAATCAAATCCAAGGGATTGTTCTATTATCATCATAACTTTAAGAAAACACAAAAGTAAACTAAGAATAAATAATAGTAAAACAAGAATTAAATGAATTGATAAATTCTTCAAAGTAACTTTATTGTTAGATGGGTTTATTTAATCAAACTTTTTAAAAATTTTAGCAACACCTTACTAAAATTAATGTTATTAACAATAAATTTAAATCTATTCCAGATCATTTGAATCTGAAAAACTTTGAAAAGTAAGTTTAAGATTATACCAATAACTTTGACAATGATTTTAAATAAGTAAAGAAATTTTGTGAAATTGAAAAGTTAGAAAATTAGTTAGAAACTTTGCAGTAAGATTATTAAAAATCATAATAAGAATATATAATAATAGTTAATCAATTAGATAAATAAATGGTGAGTACCATAGAAAAAGATTACAAGACTAAGATTAAAGATTAGAATGTGATAATTGATAAGCTTAAAGAAATTGAAAAAGATACAAAAATCAAATTATAAAATTCAGAAAACTAAAATGAATTATTAAATAAAAATTTGAAAGAAGAACTAAATAATCCGACCTAAAAATTAAATGAATTATAAATCAAAACATAGTAATAGATATAAGAACTAAATAATAAAATAGGTTAATAGGATAAAGCAATGAATAAAATCTAAATAGAATTAGATTGTAAAAAATAATTAGTTGATCCGATACTAAATTTACAAAATAAATGATTTAAAATAATAGAAATCCATTTTTTCAAATCATTAATTTAAATAATTGTTTTTCTTCCCTTCGTTCCAATGCAATCAGTATCTTTGCCAGAACAGCAAGCAGAACAAATGAAAGCTTTGACTCAGCAGTACATTCAAAACTTCCATCAATTTATAGATGTAGCAAATTTCTTTTTTTACCATCTTAGGAATCATACGATCGAGTCAATGAAGCCATTGACTCCATTTACGATTAAATGTGTTTTAAGCCAGCTCCTGAATAGAACCCAAGTACCAAAATTGTAAAATTACCTAATACTCCTCAAGTGAAGATATAGATGATAATCAATATCGCTCCTGATGAGACAAAATCAATTAGGTAAAAAGAAGTTTTTAATTAATATATTTATAGACGTGTGTAATAATAGGTAGAAGTAGTACAAGAAGAGCAGGAGGTATTTAAGAGATATGAGGATCTCTTACAAATTTTATCTAATGCTAATTAGATTATTATTGATGATGATGACCCATCATCAATATTTAAGAAACTCTTAGATA